TACATGCAGGGATGGATTTACTTGGGGGGGGGGGGTTGCACCCCCTAGCCAGAGGGGGTGCACGGGGGTGCTATTTTTTATGATAAAGCAAAAAAGACAAAATAAGATACAATAATTTGAGTAATAACATGATGATAAGTGAACTGTGAACAACAATTACAATTCAAATACAGCAGTTGATGGGTGGGCGGCACACATGACCAACACAATTCGGCAGTCGGCACCAGAGCACCCCCCCTCCCCCCCCCACCAGATCATGCTGGATCCATCTCTGCATACATGTACTGTATCATATTTAATTAATGCTTGAGTATATTTGTTCAAATTTATTGATATTAATAAATAATTAAATTATGTTTGTTATAGTAGTGTACATTTTGCACCAGCCACTCTTGAAATTAGACGTCAGCCACTTTTTAACTAGAAAATACATGCATGCAGAAACCCTCGCCTTGCTAACAAAACCATTTTATTTTCCGAACGTGAAGTATTTTTAGTAGTTGTCATGGTAACACGATAATTTTTTAAGTCTATTTTTACAAATGAAAAATCCCCTATAAATATCACTTTTAATTACAAAATTATCAATTTCCTAAACATATATATGTTAGGTATGTTATTATACGTAATATAAGCTTGAATTTAAGGTAAAATTCAACCACAAACGCTTCGCAAAACGTTTTAAAATGTTCTTTTACTATAGAACTAAACTGCCTTTATCGATAAACTTTGAGTTCGACTAATAAAATGATTCCAAATTCTCCCATGCAAATAACTTTGCTTACTATAATCACAGAATAGGAAGTTATACCAGAAGCGTAACTCTAGTCGTTTCCCTTATCCACGAAAATTTTAACTCGCTCACGTCAGGCCACGCCATCCTGGCTAGTACAGCCGGAAGTTTTTATCAGGATTTGATAGGTACAAAGTGCCGGTTGTACTAGCCAGGATGGCGTGATTGATGACGAATCGCTTGTAAAAACGCGGACAAATACTTGCTCGAGTTACGCTTCTGGTATAACTTTCTATTCTGTGGTATAATCATGGATAATAAAATAAATGGATATGAAACTTCTGACGTCATTGACTGCATCCCATTGAACTATAAATAAACTGGAAGGCTAACTCAGGGGGGGAAATTGAAGCCAGTGCATTTTAGTTTTTCTGAGTTATGAGCAGAAATACTCAACACTGAACGTTGGGCTATATATCAAATTGAAGCTATTGAAAAACTCTATTTGGTGCAGAAATTTCAAGACTTTAGCTAAAAGGGAAATATTGAAAAACTACAAACATAATTACCGATAATTTGCCGTTTTGCAGTTGTTTTTGTATTTTTTAAAGATTTTTCTTTTCGCTGAAGTCTTGAAATTTCCACACCGAATAGCAATTTTCAATAGCTTCAATTTGATATATAGCCCGACGTTTGGGGTCAAGTATTTCTGCTCATAACTCAGAAAAACTATTTTGGCTTCACAAATCATAGGCCTTCATCATAGCAGTTAGCCTTCCAGTTTATTTATAGTTCAATGCAACAGCTGGGCATTCTGTTGTCGCTGTCTAAATATTGCGGGCGCATTTCTTTAACAAACATTTTGATTCTTCGAACGCTGAAAATATGCATTGTGAGAGGATTTTTTGTCCTCTTTTACTGGTTTGTTCATGGCAAATAAAGTGTTTCTTGAAAGATTAAGTTGTAGTGCTTGTACGCAACGATATAACGACTTAATCGCATGAAAACGTGCGAAGAATTTTTATTTACAAATGGGCGACAAGTGGAAATGTTTCACTCATTGTCAGAGTTTCAGAAGCAGGGTACAGCAGTATGGAAACAAGGAAGTGTTTATATTTTACTCTTGATAGAAGCTGAGTTGTTGTTGTTTCCACAGGTATGTTCAATAATTTGTTTGTTCTTCCTCATCTGGAATAATAAGAGTCTTAAAATACATATTTTGATGAAAATGACACATATTCCTCTTGCAATTTCGTAAAAACTGGCCGTTGCCTTCAGTTAGAACATATATTTTATGAAAGTTAAATGATACTTTGTTTTATTAAAACCTGAGGTATTCATGGGAAAAATGTGCTAGATGTTGTAATTGACAAATCCACTTGTGAAGTGGAAATGTCATGTTGTCACATGCTTATGAAATTGCTCCTGTATTAGTTTGTTATAAAGTAAAAATTGCTGCAAAAATGATTTTGAAAATGTTCAAGTATTGGTTGTTATGAGATAAGAAATGCCGCATTGATTTGTTCAGTTTTAAGAGTCTAACGGCAATCCTGAATATAGGCATGCTTGCTTTGTGAAATTCTGTGGCGATATGGCATATAAATAAAAATATCTTAAAATTTTTACCATTGCCTCTCTCCGAAATATGGCTTAAAATTATCCTTATTAGTCAACCTCCATGGAAAAGTTAGTGGGTATGCTGGGAAAAATGCGCGCGGCACTTTTTTTGGACACTGAAGATGGTAACATTTGATGCTGTCATATATTGCCATCCTCTTATCATAGCATAACTTAACTTATTTTAGTGAGTTTGTTAAAGCATTGTGCTCACTATATGCCTGTAGTATCTAAGACTTTTTCATAGCATTATATGACAAATTTAAGTTCTGTTTTCTTTTATTTTTAGGTGATAGTATCTGTTCACTTGAGTGTTGGTATCAAATTTTGGACAAGTTTCAATTATTATTTCACATTCCTTTATTCAAATATCCAAATAAATGAAATATGACATCAAACTGGACGACTAGATTCTGTTTCCAAACTTGTTTTTGTAAAAATAGAAAATAACAACTTATTATGTGTTGTTCTAATAAAAACTATTGTTTTTGATATGCATATTTAATTTTTAAAATTACAGTCATTCTTTGCTAAAATCAGTAAAATGTGTACCAGGAATACTGAAATCTTTCAGATCAGCTACCAATTCCCTTTATAACTTATGTAGCCAACTGTTCTATCAATTTCTGTTCAGATTAAACAAATGATGGATAAAATATTAGTTTAGATTCTTTTAAAAAAAATGAGCTTGCCTATTTTGAAAGCATAAAAAGCAATAAAATAAAGCAAAAGTACTTATTTTTAATTTAAAACCTTTGGATTGCATAGCTTAATGTTTTCCACTAAATATTACAAAGTTTTTGTTCATTGAAATGTTGTTTTATCAGCTTTAAAACCAGATAAATACACGAAGCACTCCTATAAATGTATGTCGCCATATTGATTTTTTCGCGCATGCTCCGTACAAAATGCCCAGCTGTTGTTCAATGCTGCATCCTTGTTGAAAAACGTGACGTCACGCGTATTGCGAATGTTACCAAAGTTCTCGGCATTTTTGTTGTTTTGCTATATTTTCCACTTTAAAAGGGTGATCTTGAAGCGTAAACTGGTCTAATTGTTTTTAAAACATGCCTAAGCCACGACAAAGTATTCAAGGTAAATGTTTTTCGTCTTTGTTTTGTATTTTTTTACATTTGTAGCTACGAAATTGGCGTCACAAATTTTAACGAAATTTGCGATGTATTTTTCACTGTTTAGTGCTTGAAATATTTGCTAAAATTGACCGGGAATACTTAGAGTTTTCATCGTAGAATGGCGTGGTTACATTTATTTGCTCTTTGACTAAAATGTTTAGCTGTATTATTGCTAAACATGCCGTTTTTGAGAATTTGGTTTTCAACTAGGTCACAGATGAGGTAATACAGATGTGAATCTCCTGTGAAAATGTGTCACACGGATTAAATAAACTTTAAAATTGTATTAATTCACTATTTTATTAAATTTTGATAATGCAGAGGAATAAAACTATACATATTATAGAAGTATTCATGTTTTTTTTTATGCGAGAGTTATGTTTTGAGGCATTTATATCATTCGCTGTTTTGTTATTTATACACGAGCATCTGAAATTCCCAGCAAGTGTATTTCACGATTTTAATAAGAAGTAGATAGGGAAAAAAACAAACTTTTGCTAAATAAAATGTTATATTAACACTTTTAATAAGAAGAAATCAATAAAAGTGATCGCTTACCGTTACTCTTGAAGAATTAATTCCAAAAATAGCCGTCGGTAGCGTAGACTTTTTAAAAAAACAATTTTTCGTCTTTCGAACGGCGTTTTCCTATCTCTTTCCTTATTAAATTTCAGAACGACACTTGCCAGCGCTCGCCGGAAGTGAGAATTCCGTGTGACACAAAACAATCAGCAATTTCACAGGAGATTCACATCTGTACTTACCTCATCTGTGACTAGGTTGAGGCACCCAGCCACGCCATCAATCCCAGTAAAAACATTAGGTCACGTCAGCTAGTTTCATATCCATTTATTTTATTATCCATGGTATAATAAAAAGTGTAATCAATAAAGAAACACTGAAATAATACGCTGTCTTGTTTCATATTTATACACAACGATCGGCTTTTAAAGTAATTACAGTAGGTATGTTATTATACGTAATATAAGCTTCAATTTAAGGTAAAATTCAACCACAAACGCTTCGCAAAACGTTTGAAAGTATTCTTTTAATATAGAACTAAACTGCCTTTATCGATAAACTTTGAGTTCGAAATAAAATGATTCCAAATTTTCCCATGTAAATAACTTTGCTTAGTATAATAAAAAGTGTAATCAATAAAGAAACACTGAAATAATACGCTGTCTTGTTTCATATTTTATATACGCAACGATCGGCTTTTAAAGTAATTACAGCCGATCGAGATTACAGTATATTAAAAGCAAACAATGCATCAATATTTAAAACAAACTTACCTTCGTTAACGTCGGCACCTTTACTTCCTTCTTTTAGCAATCCTCTTGCCTTTATTTCATCAAAAATCCTTTGCAATTTACAAAATCTTGCAAAAATGAAATATATTTGCAAGAAATCATCAAATCAATTTCGCTGTCGTCAATCGTCATGCAGCCGTTATAATGCCAATTTTAAATTGGACCAATCAGTGTTGCCTATGCATTACAGTCCGCTATATTATGAGATCAGTGAGGATGACCACCCACCGAAACACGCACAGTGACCCACGCCCGCGATATTTGATGAACTTTAGACTTCCCTAATGCTTTCGTTTCCCCGGGTGTAAATAGCCGGGGGGAATTAGTACCCTCGCACGGCGCTTCGCGCCGTCGGCTCGGGGACTAGATGGCCATGGATAACCTAAGAAATTGTTTTCTTTATTAAACAGCAACTTGCAAGCTTTGTGATATTTCTTGAATACCTCAAAAGTTGTCAGCTGCTGTTTACATTATCTACTTCACCATGTTCGGTTTTTTAGTATGCATGAACACTATTATTAAGTTAAAGGAGGAAGCATTTATAATGGCATGCAGGTACATTATTTGATACTTCTGAAGACCATCCAGAGTCAACAGGTGTCTGTATATAGAAACAAGTAAATAGAGACCCATATTTTGACTAGAAATAAGAACCATTTAAATTCAACTCAGCCCGATTTTCACAGAACCAACTTTAAAATGAACTGCAGTTGAACTTTACAACATACATTACAAACTTACAAATAAACATTGGTGGTCAGATTTCAAAGACAAATTGAAATTGACAGCAAGATGTAATTTTATTGTTGGGGATGGGTTGGTGCTTTAGGGTTTAGGCTCAATTCTTGCAGAAGGGTTACATAAAGTCACAGCAATTTCAAAATTAATTACATGGCTTGACAAAATAAATTCTATTCAGTCACGAAATAGGTAGATGCATTTATTGATAGCACATGTTTTTTTAAGTTTAGATACAGGTAATGAGAACCATATTGGTGTCCTAGTAATAAATTTATGCCACAATAAAAAAGCAATATTGCTATTTTGAGGGAGTTGCACATGACAGATATTGTTTTGTTATAGATACACACCTACTTATATTAAATGATTTTTGTTTGGCAATAAAGTGAAAGGTAAAAATGCTGGAAAAATCTAAAAAGTTAGCCAATTTAAATAACATTTCTATAACTTGCTAAACCTAGTCAGTTACTATTATTTCACAAACATCTGTCGACATACACTCATGCCCCTCCTTACCACTTGAGTCTCCCACTCACCACATCGCTTTATGAAAAATTTTGGATAAAATCCTATTTTAAAAAAGTCAACCCTATACTTTATATGCTGAACATAGACCTCTAAGATATCTCGTGCAGCAATTAGTGGGTGCAAATAATATAGCCAACATCACATATGTCCATCCAGTTCCATAGTCTACATCAATTGCTATTGCACTTGGGTCCATTGGATTCAATGGCTTTGGCCGTATTCTTACATTCACTGGTTTATCTTGTCCATGAATAGCAAGGCATGCCTGTTACAAATGATGTTGGTAATGTTTCTCATGAACAGCACCAATGCACTTGAATGGCACAGCATGGGTGATTTCGTCCTCGTCACTTTCATCCTGATCACTTAACTGGTCACCACTTTCTGCCCTATCACCTTCATTACCATATCCATCCTGACCAGGTTCAAGACCAGCCAACCACTGAACCACTCAAGTAGATCTCTTTCTACAAAATCATAACAAGAAATTTTTTATTTTATTATTTTATACATACACTGTAATCTCTAAAATTAGCAATCTAATGCAAAAGTGTGTCACTATTTACAGTAATATTAGAACAATACACAAATATTATTTTACAGATGAAAATTGAAAAATATAACTATACTGTATGCACATATATGTAAAAATCTGTCCATACAAACAGGCATTCGTTTAATTAACTCAAAACGTGTACATATGTATCACAGTGACACAGTACATATACACACACAATAGGGTCAAATTCTATTAACTATGGTCAAACTAGAGGCATTATTATAAACACAAAAAGTACAAGAATAAAAACAACAAAGCGGAAATTTGACTATAAAATAACACGATAACTGTAATGCATTGTAGTATACCAACCTACAAATATATATAAGTATACCAACCTACAAATATGTACAACCTATACAAATACTGCGCTTGTTTTCACGTTCACGATACACGGAGATTTAACGCCATCCAACTTAGAAAGAAGAGCCTCGCTATTGGGAATATATTAAATTAAACACAATTCCTTTTCTCAGACGTATTATTTATAGTCTTTATAAAGCTAAAATTACAGCACGTCCCATGCAATTTAAAAATAGGTAAACTTGATATAGTAAAACACAAGTCATAATGATCATCGCAACATGCTGTTTTCACAAAATATCGCAGCCTGACATTCTTGTCGTTCGAAAGCTTCCATATTGGTTTTGTAGTCAGAGAGATGTTCACTCCTCGACAGTCAACAGTCAATGAATGTCACGCGTGGAATTAGGCGCTCAATACCCATGATGCTTTGCGGCCTGCTGTCCAACCTCCTCTGCAACCTCCCAAGGACAATAGAAAATGGTCGGTCTTTCATTGAAATTCAAGCCTCGGCGCTGCACGCCTCGGTCTTGAATTTCAATGAAAGACCTCCCATTTGGTTTTTATCCTGCAAATAAAACCCTGTTGAGAACAACTTGAGAATCTCTGCTTCGACAAACCCGTACAAATCTTCGTTAGCTCTTCTCGGTTGTATGAGCTATTTCAAACATATTTCATCGTAATTGTGGTTGGTGAACGAATATCTAATCACTTCTCATTGATAGTATACAGTAGTGCGACACGAGAATTGATGCATATCAAAATAGCCCGTTGTTTTTATTACAACCATGGTAATTCAAACTCATTTAAAGAACAATACATATCATAAAGTAAATTTCATTGTGGGTCAATCCTTACAAATATGAACTAAGTTAGTTAGATACCTCAAAGGCTCAAACGTCGGCTCTTAGTCAGATAAATCCCTCGGGGCCTACGGCCCCTCGGGTTTGTATCTGACTAAGAGCCTCCGTTATCGGTATCTAACTCTTACATAATAAGACGGGCGGCCTATTCTGTAAATTTTGTAATTTCTCGCTTTGCTTTTTACCTAGGTCATCGAAAACAGGAGCACAATAGGAAAAATAGGGCTCCACCAAACTTTGGTAAACTCGGATTGCAGTTTCTGTGGTAATAAAATCTCTCATTCGTTTGAGAGCGCCGATACCCGGCCAAAGAGACTTTTTTCGTGATATTATCAACATGATATTTCCAATGTTTGTGTGATGTTACTCTGAGTGTATATCCACACCGGGCAGGCTTGAAAAATATGCCTGGCCACGGCGGGATTCGAACCTACGACCTTTGGAATACTAGCCCAATGCTCTTCCAACTGAGCTACGCGGTCAGGACGGTTCGAGTATGCGATATTTCGGAACTGAGTCTAGCCCCTTCGATATCAGTGTAATCTAATAATCATGTAATCTGCTGTGTTGCTGTAATGTACTCAGGTGAATAAGATGTTTGTGTGATGTTACTCTGAGTGTATATCCACATCGGGCAGGCTTGAAAAATATGCCTGGCCACGGCGGGATTCGAACCTACGACCTTTGGAATACTAGCCCAATGCTCTTCCAACTGAGCTACGCGGTCAGGACGGTTCGAGTATGCGATATTTCGGAACTGAGTCTAGCCCCTTCGATATCAGTGTAATCTAATAATCATGTAATCTGCTGTGTTGCTGTAATGTACTCAGGTGAATAAGATGTTTGTGTGATGTTACTCTGAGTGTATATCCACACCGGGCAGGCTTGAAAAATATGCCTGGCCACGCATTGCATTGGGCTAGTATTCCAAAGGTCGTAGGTTCGAATCCCGCCGTGGCCAGGCATATTTTTCAAGCCTGCCCGGTGTGGATATACACTCAGAGTAACATCACACAAACATCTTATTCACCTGAGTACATTACAGCAACACAGCAGATTACATGATATTTCCAAGTTAAGTTCTCGTCAATTGTTAAACCCAATGCTTTAGACTTCAACACTCTATTAATTAGTTTATTATTACACTAGCTGGCCTGTAGGCCAATTAAGTGTCTTAAATCCCTCTTTTTCTGTTTTTTTCCTGTTTGTTCAGTTCAGTTTCAAAATGGTGGCTTTTAACTGAGCGATGATATATCTAATATGTATTTCATACAGTTTCGGCGTTGAATTTTCAAAGAATTGTGCCGGTTTCCTATGGAAAATACGTTGTGTCGCACTCTGGACTCTCTTGTGTGTTGAATTAATGTGTTTTTCTCTGTGTAACGACTAAAAAAAAACAAATTTGGACCCAGCGAATTTATACACTGATATAGTGGAATATACTGGAATATAAACTACAAGGACACTAAGTTTAAGGTTTGACAGTTTGACTTTTTAGTTAACAAGTATAAATATACGTTAATTGTAGACTCATAAACATGCGTTATGCACTTGTGTTCATTTGCTTGAAAAAATCGCTATCCAGTGGATAGTGCTATTGGCACTTTGTAGTGTACAACCTGCCCTGAACTACTAACTCATTATATTCAGTATTGCTTAGCCCGCGTGCAGACCCAAGGGAAGCCTGCACGCGGGCTAAGTATTGCTATAAGTCGTTATCTTTGTTTTTACTTGTAAGTAAAAGGCATTGTGCAGTTTCGTAGAGTATACTCATCATGAATCGAACTTTCCATACGAAATTTGAAAACACTCAACAAAACTTGAGAGAAATATGATACAGCTACAACCATGATTATTCCATTGGCCAGTACATGTCGTAACCAGTATCGAAACCATATAGTCTTTATGCCAATGTTATACAACCAAACTTGAATAAAGGTCGACAGCCAAGCAAATACGAACTCAATTGCCAAACCGATGACAACACGGGGGTAGATCCTCTTGATTTCGTCGCTTAAAGCAACATCAAAAGTACTAAAACGGTAAAGCATCATATAAACCTGACTCAAAATGAGAGTTCCAAATTGAGACAACATGTCTTGAATCTCCAAGTCTGCTTGTAATCTTCTGATTCGAGGTGAACAATATGGTACTGGTCTAAAACCACGAGTTTCAAGTTTTCTCAGTGCACGACCCCATAGCTTTTCACGAAAATGACGGGTTGCCTAAAATTATAATTTATAGAGTTATTTAGTTAGATTTAAAACTATTACCTAAAACCTGCCGCGCGCACACGAGAGAAAGCTTGCGCGTCATGGTAGCTAGCTCACCATGGTTTTCTCGTGTGCGGTGTCGTGGAAAAAACTCAACATCTGCGGATAGTCAGAGTGTCGACTTTGGGAAAATTTTAAAAATATGAGGTCACAGAAGCAGCATTTTCTGCATGCATGTTGAGCATGTAGTTCATGGCCGTTCTGGCTTTCTGTTGATTTGCGTAATAAAGTCGTTATTTTCGTGAAATGATAACCATTTTTGTAAAATACAGTCAATTTAGATCCAATTCGTTTGCGAATTTGCTTTAGAAAACGCCAGAAATGCAGTCCTAGCGCTTCAAAAATGTAGCACTTTCTGGGGAGGACCGGGACCCCCATACCCCCTCCCCTTTTCTCTTCGCAAACTTAGTATGACGGTGGAAAGCAATCAGGAAAAGCTCTATTATAATTTTTAAACTTCAGGTAAATTTTTATCATTGAAGTTCAAATTTCAGGTATATTTTCCACTGAGCTGTATATTTATTAGTTACTTTATTCGCATGACCTATTTACAAGGTATTGCTAAAGTTAAAATAAGGTAAATCAGGTAAAATCCTCAGACACCCCTCCCCCCATCTTCAGATGCCCCGCTACGTACGTCCCTGTATGCTAGTAGAGAACACTAGTAGAGTAGCGTAGTTATTAAATATACTGTCATTTCTGCGGGCCAATTACTAAAAGTTTAGAACATATATTATCAATGCGGCTGGAGGTGGAGTAATTTGACTCCTTAGTTTAATAACGCCTTGATTCTTTTACATTTAAGACTACAGTCGAATACTTTTTATCATGCATAGTCAGGCTCTTCAGCTCTTGGCCTAGCGGTTCTGAAAATCAAATAAAAATTCCCTATGGCTATGCCTCCGACTTTAAATCGAAATAAATATTGACGACGTGTTGTGTTCTTGTATTAATGCTGAGAAACAAAAATATCACTTTCCTTTCCCAATCTTCCCTTTGATGTTTCATTGTTGTGTTTTGAGGTCCGGAATATAGAAGAAAAAATCCCATTCTTCCTTCCAGAATCCATGCAAGAAGATAAAATAACAATTAGCATTTTAATTCGAGCCTTGAACGTTCAAGACTAAAACTGCATGCGTGGTCAAATGTTAAACATTGTTAAAAACAAATTAAATGAATAAGGAAACGAAATATATATACTGACTCCGAATAACCAATAGTTTCAGCGCTGGCCTTTTTGCCGATCATATATATTGTGCCAATATTCCATGCATTATATGTCGTTGTGAACACCTCGATCTAACAGAAAATGAATATCTATAATCTTACCTGTGCAATGATGTTAAACGTTCCGTGTAACAAAGAAAAAGCCACGAATAATCTTAAGTCTGTAAGTTCAGCTTGCATGATCCGATACAGAGCGACAGGAATCAAATAGTTGAAGTAAATTAAAACGAATGAAACATCAGCTTGTATGAAATCAGTACAATGACACAACACGACGTACTTGCCAACAGCTACTGGAATCAGAGCGAACAGAGGAAGAATCGATGCAATCATTGCCTTGTTAATATCACTTGTTTGTTCATTAAACCAAGGAACAATCAAATTACGATATGACAAACACATGATCAAGGAAAACATAAATATCTGTCCAATTTTTAACACAATCCTTTTTATTGATTGTTTTGTTGCACGCGCAATTTCAATGCAACCGAGGATCCCTCCAAGAAAGAATATGACATTTCCTGGATACCTATAGTAGGAATCTCTAAAATCAGAGCCACAATACATAAATAAATACGCCTTGTATATCACAACTAATTGTCCCATTATTAAGCCAATGTACAATAGAGACCTGAACTTTTCAATGAACAGTTTGCGACCAAATAATAAAGCAATTGTGGCAGGAAACCAAAAATTGAGTAGCCATGCTTGACACGATTCACCGATTAATTTCCACTTTAAAACTTTTTCTGGAATAGAGTTATTTAGATATGGTTCAATACCGATGCATTTATCTGTTGTTTCCAAATCCAAGTAAGCAAAGAAGCCAGCAATACCGCTTATAACTATCGCTGATAGTATTATTGTAATGTTGGTGGGAATACTTCGTGCGATGGACGACAATAAGGGTCCTCGCTCAGATTTGTGAGGCAGAAAGCAACCAGAGCGAAATTCCACGACAGTATTTGCCAAGCTGTTGTAGTTAAGAGAGGATGTGCTGGCTGCAGAAAGTAACCCTCTCGCTTCGATTTCGTTTTCTGGCTCGGCGGCGTCAGGGAATTCTTTATAGTTGAAGTTCTGTTCTGGGCTAACAAGATCTGTGGGTGGATTGCTGGGATTGGGTACATTGATGTTGTCATTACAGCTGTCTTGTTGTTTTCGTTGCTTTTGTCTTGACGGGCAACGAATTTCTGATATCAACCATGGTATGGCCAAAAATAGAAAATCTATCAACTGTTCTAAGAACATTGTTCATACAATATTTTTATCGCTTAAGTTATATATGTTACAAAGTTGGTACACGTCGATTCAGCGCCTTTGTACTTACTACTAAATTAAATTAAGACGCAACTTCAATTCGTGTCATCCATAGCAAAGCTAGCTACAAACTAACAAAGTACATTGCATCTGTGTAACAGCCAATATTGACCCTGACTGTTAAGCAGTCATGCATTCATTCCCGCCAGAATCAATTAAATAATTATACCACCATACGCGTGCGAGACGGAGAAGAGTGTTTAATCGGACGGATTCTATACATGCTCAAAAATTGGGCAATTTTCTAGGCTTATCCGCCTCCATGGCTAGAAATCTGCGACAGCCAGCGGTTTGTAATGCAGGCGCACGCACCGTCAGTACGTCATGTTAATGAACATATTGAAAAGCCGGAAAGTACGTAAAGAAACGCTCTAATGTATAGACCATTGAACTATAAATAAACTGGAAGGCTAACTCAGGGGGGGAAATTGAAGCCAGTGCATTTTAGTTTTTCTGAGTTATGAGCAGAAATACTCAACACTGAACGTTGGGCTATATATCAAATTGAAGCTATTGAAAAACACTATTTGGTGTAGAAATTTCAAGACTTTAGCTAAAAGGGAAATATTGAAAAACTACAAATATAATTACCGATAATTTGCCGTTTTGCAGTTGTTTTCGTATTTTTTAAATATTTTTCTTTTCGCTGAAGTCTTGAAATTTCCACACCGAATAGCAATTTTCAATAGCTTCAATTTGATATATAGCCCGACGTTTGGGGTCAAGTATTTCTGCTCATAACTCAGAAAAACTATTTTGGCTTCATCAAATCATAGGCCTTCATCATAGCAGTTAGCCTTCCAGTTTATTTACAGGGTGTATCAAAATAAACGCAATTCATCTTTTGTGCTTAATAACTTTCGAAATACTATTTCTAGTTAAACGCTTTTAGGCTTACTTCAAAGCCTGTTCTTTTCTCTTTCAAACAAACTATTATCCTTGTCTCCAATGCTAGTAATAATTGCACAGGAAAAGATTGAGTAAAACCTATCATTTTTAGTTGCTGTTTAATTATGCAAGTTTACTATGTTATTGTTTAGGGACCGGTGATTATTTATGGCAGGGGTGGGGGCCGAAGAGAAAGTATAATGAAGCCGGAAAAAATCATTACCCCACCTTTTTCGAAACAAAATTTCTAGCTACCCCACCGGTGGAGTGCCAGAAAATTTTTTTACCCCACCCAAACCTATTTTGTTGCAATGTCAAAGGTTCAGACATAAAATATGTAATGAAACGGTTTAGTATTCGTATTACTCATCAAGGTACAAAATTGCCCTTGATGAGTAAGATCATCTGCTGTTAGAGAGTAAATAATAATTATTATAGGGTGCTTTGACCACAGTGGACATTATAATTAAAAGGGAATAGGATTGATTGGTAATACTTATTTCTTGTGGAGTAATTAAAGCACACTAACAGTCATGCCTTTTGCCTTTATATTATGGGTTACCCCTACAATAGCAAGGTACTATATAAAGAATTATAGTTATCTGAAGGCTTAAAATTTGTCTACTTGTAAAATTGAAATATGAATGGGTTTTTATAGTTTGTATTCAACGCTATATTCCCTTTTCACGAGATAGTGCAATGCTAGTCCCATAAACATATATTAACCATATGCTTCAATATTTTAGAACACTAACCGTATTTCACCACCCTATCTCTTTCCCACTTTAAAGTTTCACTGTATATAATATGGTTTCTTTCACATTCTTGCATTTCTTTATTAATTAAAATGCAATTTTATTTCGAAACAGTTTCACAAAATATGTGCTCACCCATGATTGCAACTATCTAAATTCTAAAATTTCGTCTGATATTCCTTTAATATTTCCTTACTATAGACAATCACATGTATTATCACGGAATTTTAAAGGAATTCTTTAAGAATTCCCAAGGAATTCTTGAAGTTTATGAATCAATTTAATACTATTAATTCGTAAACAATACAACGATACTAAAGTATTTGTCCCATGTGAGAATATCTGAATTTAGAAAGTTACTGTAAATTAATGAGAAAAAGTTGCTGTTTATATACAGTGTAAAGATAAAGATATTCATCCGAATTCCAAGTATGATTATATAAACAAATATTAAATTAATCTGTAAAACGGGTAAATAGATTTCTCTTATTTTATCCATGTATACATGATCTGCTAGTAAAGAAAAACAGCTAGTTGCCAAAGGCTAGAGTTGAACATATTGTGAACTAGCCATTGGAATGATTCTCCAGATTCACAAGGGGCATGGGGCATATTTCATGATTTGCTACCTGAATTGTCCACATGGTTTACAAGCACATACTGGATATAAATATTAGTTATGCAGTATCAAGTGTAGATGCCCAAAAATTAAATCCTGAAAATTTAATAGACTGTACATATACTTTTTGAGATATGTAATGAGAGGATGTTTATATGGGGGTGAGGCTGGATGCCCGGAGTTAGGGGCTACAGACTTAAGGTCACTTTTTCTGAAGCAAGATCTCGGGCTAAAGGGATGGGATCTCGCTTAGCTATAGCTGGGCCCGCTCTTTACCCATATATACACAAGGTGAACTTTAGTAAGAAATAACAACAAAGGCAGGATCTTGCCAAAACTGGGCCAGCTTGGGTACCCTGGGGTTGGCTTGCAGTTGCACCATATAAACAGCCCCTATATATAGGCAGTATATATTTTGTTTGGTAATTGGAGTCTTTGAGATTTTGTGTGTAAATGAATATAAAAATGACCCTTTACGGGTGGGTTGCGGGGGGTGTTTCTGTCAACATTTTGGAAAGCAATAATATTTTATTAAAAAATTAGAATAATCACATATTAAACTCTGATTGTAGTATATATTGTATTGTGTGTGATTAAAGTAAGGTTGTTTTTTTACCCCACCTCTGCATGTAAGGATTTTTTGGCCACCCCACCTAAAGCAACTATTATTTTTCAGTTACCCCACCATTTTCTCTTCGGCCCCCACCCCTGCCATAAATAATGACCGGTCCCTTAGTCGGTTTAAATGTTAGAATTTTCTTCTTTAATTAAACTTTAGTGTTGTCGTCACTACTTCTGGAAAACCACGTAAGAACAAATTAAAAGTATTTTAAAAGAGACCAGGTTGTTTGAAAATCCTAAACGAATGCTAAAAATCGTCAAAACATTCTGGTGTCTGAGCCAGACTGTCATCGAATTGCGATGTAATGTAAACAGAAATTATAGCAAGTTGATGTCAGTCAGCTTAGATAGTCCAAGCCAAAATTATATCGCATTTGAAGTTTCAAACTGAGTTAAAAATAGTGGAAGAAAAGCCGTAATTATACTTATTGTTACAATCCATTTAATAAAATGCAACATTCTTTTGTTTTAATGAAAAAATCAGTTATTTTCATGAGAACGATTTGTTATTCCATCTCAATTTTTTTAATCTCCAATCGCAATAACGTAAAGTATTATTACCCGCGAACCAATGAGTCAAATTTAAGAAACAACCCACTGTTAGAAAGCTGAATGGCTACGCTTTAAAATGAATGTAAACTTTAACGTTTTCGTCTATTATTTGTTTAGCAATTTACATTTCAGTCGAGGATTGCGCTTTTTTCTATACACCCTGTATAGTTCAATGGTATAGACCAATTGCGAAACTTAGTGGCCGCGCCTTCATACTGCACGAGAACGAGGCTTATTATGCAAAAACAAAACAATTTCTATATTTTTACATAGCAAAAAGTGAATTTTAGGGTTTTTAAAGTGTTTTTTCTTTAATCCCTTTGATCTTTTCTTAATATTTCGTGCTAGGTTATATAAATATTTGTTAAATTTATCTAAACATCGATTTGCCACTATATTTTTACTCGCTTTGGAGAGATATTTCGTTGTTGTTTTAGCATGCGATGGAACAAACATATGGAAAAGATCAATCTAGACTTTAAAATCTGATCAAGATGCAAATAAAATAGCCAGTATAACTTAACAAACTAAAATATAACTCTTTCTACCCAGATATTTTTAGACTTCGTGCGAGAAAAAACGATTTTGTCAAAGGATAATAACATAAAATTTCTAAAAATTTTGCCCGAGATTTACTTTCATATTTTTAAAGTTAAAATCGAAAACTTGCTATTATATTACAACTGAAACAAAATTAATCAATGTTACAACTTATTCTTTGAAAAGTGTTAATAAAACAGACGGAAAATACCTGATTCTTTCTCTGGTATAATCTGCTTCTTTTATCGGACGGCCAGGTTGGAAAACTTGTACCAAATTCCCTACGCGTAGCTGCGAGTGTATAAAATTGATCAGCTGCGAGCTGCGAGTGAACCAATAGTCAGATGCGAGCTGCGAGTGACCTACAATCCGAAACAAGCTGCGAGCGTTCTCAAGTCAAGCCAAATGGCCCAAACCCGATTAGGCTTTTGTTTATATTAAATATGCATTTTATTAAACTTAAGAGTAGAACTGTAGTCGGTAGAAAAAATTCGGTATGTGGTATAAAAGAAGTATAATTTGTGGCGTGTTTTGATAAACAATTATAAAATGTTGTAACTAGCCCGCGTGCAGGCCCAAGGGAAGCTAATACCCTTGGGCCTGCACGTGGGCTATGTTGTGACGAAATAATAGAGCATAGATGAAGTATTGCTTACTCATCATTTTTGTACGTGGGCTATTTTTGTTGAACATTCTGTAATTTCTGCTGAAAGATATACTAAAAGATTGAAATCATGAAGGTATGCCAACCATTTGTACTTTTTGTGAATTTTGCTAGTTTTTTTTATCTACGATTGCAGGCTTGCAGATTATGTGATAATATAAATTATAAAATATTCATATGCATGTAATTATGAATCATAAATATTCATATAAATGTACAGTATCAATTAGCTATTTAATAAGCTACAATGATTTTTAGTTTACTTTGAAAACAGTAGGTTTTTAACAGTTGACACTTGACAATTGACATGCTATATGCAGGCAGCAAGCACAATTAAAAAATAATAAAGGACTATTAAAAAACCCTGCAGGCTCCAACTGTGTGCAAGCTAGGCTGCAAATGACTTCCAAACACAGTTGTTGATTTGTAGAAGAAAAAACAACTAAAATTTATTTAATAAAATCTAATTATTTAACCCACAATTTTCCAGGAAAATGCTTTCAAAATGACAAAATGTGTGCACAAGCATTATATTATAATACATTATAATATAATGGAATAGTCAGAATAGAATTAAAATAAAATACAATATACATGTAATACAATGATAATATTATAGTAAAATCATAATATAAATACAATCCTATAATGTAAATTTGTCATGCAATGTTATGCTATTAGTAAACACAGTATCAGCGTAGTATCACCTGTAAGACTGTAACAGTATAGTGACAACTATATACTGTATCTTTATAGACTAGACTCATTAGAGTAAACAGCATACATAAGCATGTCTAGCGATGATGAAGTTGCTTCTGTGAGTAATGAAGATATTTCTATCGAAGAAGAATCTCAAAGTCAAAGTTGTACTGAAACTGGTTCAAGTCCTTCAACAGGTTTTGAACTTTGTTTTTTTGTCTAATAAATATTTCATGGTTCCTTAATTTGTCATTTCACTCATTTGTGCACAATCTCAATAGTTACTTATACAGTAACTATTATTTAATTTGATTCTAGTACCATGGTGGTTGAAAGAAAAGCAAAATATAAAATCATCTTCCTCAGATTCCAAAAAAAGTGGAAATGACAAACAACTGTTGTGCAAAGAGTGTCTCTTGAATAATCGAAAGTACTATACCATTTCAAATGGAATGCCATCAGACATTGAACGACACAGGAAATCAAAGCAGCATTTAGAAGTCACTATAACAACTGTTTTGAAGGCATCTAACGAAGGACATGATTTGCTTGCAAGAAGGGAATTGAAAAGAAAACCTAAAAAACGACCATCAACCAATTTAAGAACTGGTGGATCATCTCCTAAACGAGCTCGAGTTGATAGTGTAGTGAAAAATGTTGGGAAAAGTCAACACCCACAGGAGCCACAGGGCATCTTAATGGTTACAGAAAATTCTTTAGGATCAAGTCATACCCAAGAAGGAAACACACTGGATAGTTATCATGACCCCATAAACAAAGTAGAAGAAACAGTTACAACTGAGCTTGAATTGGAATCAGAAGTGGAACCCAACAGTAAAAGCCAAAGTAATATCAATGACTTTTTAAATCCACATGTTGATGCTGTAAAAGAATGTAATGCAACAGAAGTTGAGGGTTCTGTTCACTTGTCAAATCGAAGCAATAGAATGGACACTGTTCCTGAATTGCCATCGGCAACGGATATTGCAACAGAAGTGGTTAAGCTAATGAAAGAAATGAAAGTAGATGATACTTTCGAAGAGAAGCCAAAGGAACTTTTGAACAAACAGCAAATTGCCAATGATCTAGACGAGTGGCGAAAAATCAGAAATATAACTGAACTCGCAACCCAAGTGCCATGCTTAGAGTTCTTCTATGACGAAGTTATGTCTGAGAGTGTGATACGCTGTGAAGTATGTTTCCAAGCCTCTATAGGCAAAGAAAATATAAAAAATATGTCTCCATATGAAATTGCTCGAAAGAAAAATCCATTCAACCATGGGGATCCAGTGACGGGAATATGGAATGGGAAGGAAAGGACAGAACAATACCTTAAAGGTGGAAATTCTTCTTGGAGATTATTGAAATCCGTCTTTAGATCGCATATGTTAGGTATTTCAACCACCAGCCATGGAAAACATCATTATCTAGCTATGAAAGAACTTGAAAGAGAGAAGGAATGTAAGAGGAAAGCACTTGAAGCAATGAAGAACTTAGTTAAGTGCATGGTGACAGACGTTAAGCTTAAAGCAGCTTCAACACAATATGAAACTCTTGTCGCATTTTTAGATGACTGTGGTGTTGTCATTGGACAGCGGCAACACAGTCGAAAACAAATGCTTGCTATGCTTGTTGCTGCAGAGGACTTTGTTGATGAGAAAACAACAAATGTTTTGAAGACGGAGCTCTTGTGCACTCAAGTGTATCCTCATTTCTTTGGCGTATTGGATAAAGGTACAGTGAATCGACGAACTAGCCAGGCGTCATATATTGTCTTCATGTACAATGGAAAAGGCCGTGCCTATCCTGTTGGTGCGCCACTTGTTTATACGAGAAATAATGATGAAGGTGAAGAATCGTCTGACTCAGAGGATGAAAATGAATCGGAGGAGGAGGAAGAAGAATTTCCTAATGTTAGCGGTGGAAATGCCCCAGAACTTGCCAGTAACTTCCTGAACACGATAAAGTTGAAATTGAAGCTTAACGAAGAGGATCTTACCAGATACTGTGGCACGTCCGCTGATGGTCCATATCAAGCCTACGAGTTTGGTTTTACCATACAGGAAGAGACGGGACGACATAGAATTCCCGAGGAATTGCGGTTTTGCCAGGCAGTAATTTGGGATGCAACTCATCTGTTGAATTTAGCAGCAACTGACATAAAAGAAGGAAAGTTTGGAGAAAGTTAAGAATTCTTTACCAATTTTATCAAGAGAGCAAATGAGTTCAATCACATGATGGGAACAGGGAAAGGCTTTGCGCAACTTGAACTGAGTGCAAAAAACAGTTCAAAACGAGCATCCGTTATTGTCCCGTTTGCCGCTCAACGTTTCTTAAGCTCTGCAGTTGGCCAATGGAAATCAATTGAAAAAGCATTCCCAGTCCTAAGAAAATCATTTCAAGCTACTCATTCTAATGCAGATGAAGATTTCCCTTTACAGTACAGGATGTTCGGACAAGATTTTGTCGTGGATCTACTTGACTTGTTAGACATCACAACACCGTTATGCGAGTTAATGGTGTTGTCGCAAAGTGTGGACTTTCTTCATTGGAAAATTGTATTCTGGGGTCAACGAATGGTTTTCTGGATGGGGGCAATGGTAGATAATCTAACCTGTACACCACGGTACAAGAAACATCTACAAGACATTAAGAATTATTTGTTTCAAGAAGTTCAGCTTTTTGAGGGATGGCATTTGCTGAGCAATGATAGGATGGTGCATCCGGATTATGGCGAAGAAGCAATGTATACCTGGATTGAAAGATCATTAGACCAGTCGATGAAGGAATTGAAAAAGTTTGCTATGGATTTAAAAGCTTCGTCACAAAACAGATTAGACAGTGGCACAGCAGAAGTCTCGAGACTGCTAGCTAAATGCTTTGACTTCGAGAAGCTGCTGCTTGCTCTTGAAGGAACGAGGCGCCCTGACTCTGAAAACCAGAATGCAATATCTTGTATTAAAGACAAAAGCAGCTATCTTGCGATGGGAAGAAAGGATTTCGAAGTATGGTTTAGATATATAATCTCACTTCCACATGTACAAAAAAAGAAAGATGAATTGCATTACCTTGATGTGAGCTGTTCAGATGCCTTGTATCATCGTTTTAAAGAATGCCTTTGCGAGATGTTTTGGGGTAATCTTAAAGAGTATGGTGTAGCATGTATGCAATCGTCTGGAAAATATCTCTCAGAATTCTTTGTTTCACTGGAAAGAGATAAATCGCCTGGAATACGCCAAACTTTCGTCTTGACTCTTCTTAATGGAAAGAAAATTAAAGCTGTATTAGATGAATCAAAGCTCATTGAAATGCTGTACACAGTGGAAAGCATCTATACTAAACTTGGACCAGAGTTCATGTTGTCTCTAGACATCGCAATGGCGTCGGGCGGCAGTGAAGCAATAGCTGAAAGTTTTTATGCTATTATGGATACGCAGCGACAGCGATGCCATCAGTCCAATAAGATCTTGGAGCTAAGAACAAAACTAGATTGGTTACTTCCTCATATTGGTAATAATACAGGCAATCTGGTTGAAGGTATTGCTCAGAAATATTTGGAAAGCCATAATTCACCTATGCTTCGCGACCCAAGGTCAATCAGGCACTATTTGATAAGAAATAACCAGTCAAAGGTTATTCACAGAATTAAGAACCTGCCACCAAAATATCCTTATCTTCTTTAGGATCAGCTCTTTTGTATATACGATTAACCATATGCATAAGGTATCATTTTTATTGTATCCGCTAATTTTATACTATATTATATATGCATGTTTTGGTGTCATAATCTAAAAGACGGAGTATATACATGGTATAATTCAAATTAATAAAGAAGTTGTGTTTTCCAACTATATAAATTCAATTTTCTGGTCGGATTTCTGAGTTCTGCTGCAATGCGGCACGCGAGCGTCAGGCGCATCGGGTGGTAAGTGCGAGCAAAGCAAATTTAAGGTGCGAGATGTAGCTTTAAATTGTTGTGTAGCTGCGAGTGAGTGCAAGTTTTCCAACCTGGTCGGACGGCGAAAAACAGCAAAACTTTGCCTCGCACGCCGCAAAAAAACAATGAAATTTGAAGTAAGACTAAATCTATGAACAAGATTAATAAAGATTTACATAACAAAAATATTGAAAAAAATGAAGAGATTGCCATAAAAACGCGTCTCAAACACTGAAATTCATTTTTCGCCATATAAAAATATAGCAGAATGATTTGTTTTTGCATAATAAGCCTCGTTTTCGTGCAGTCACAGAATAGGAAGGTATAGCAGAAGCGTAAAGCCCGTTCTCCACTAGGCGAATTTATTCGCGCGAACAGATAAAAAGTAGGAAGCGATCCTACTTTTTCGCCGCGAATTTTTTCGCCGACCAATCACGTTGCCGGATTTCGGTTTTCGCTTCGCGTCGCGCGAACAAATTCGCCTAGTGGAGAACGGGCTTAACTCAAGCAAGTATTTGTCCGCGTTTTTACAAGCGATTCGTCATCAATCACGCCATCCTGGCTAGTACAACCGGCACTTTGTACCTACCAAAACCTGATAAAAACTTCCGGCTGTACTAGCCAGGATGGCGTGGATTGGCGTGAGCGAGTTAAAATTTTCGTGGACGTCAAACAATAAGGAAAACGACTAGAGTTACGCTTCTGCTATAACTTCCTATTCTGTGGTGCAGTTGAAGGCGCGGTCACTAAGTTTCGCAATTGGTCTATATGCCCAATAAAGACATGCTTCCTTCTCCGGTCGGCAAACACATAAACTCCTTTATATTATCCTGTACTGTGGAGCGACTGATTAGTTGTCGGAAAAGAAAAAGAACGTTAAGTGAGAAGTCCTCGCTTGTTTTACTAAACAAATGACTTTAAATGACTTTTTAAAACTGTTGGACAATGGACAATAGCTAAATGATAAGTAAATCATGTCAGTGACATAATTATGTCCAACATTTAATATTTTATGTCACTAGCTGATATTATCTCACCTTTACAAAATATGAATCACGAACAAGAATATGACAAAAAGCAAAATTTCGATGCGCTTGCCTCGCATTTTAGCGAAGTAACAAGCCGCGATTTTAAAATGCAAAATAGAGGCAAAATATACCATTCTTTCCTCTACTTGGGAACAGTATTGATATAATATCTTTAGATAAAATTGTGAAAAAATTCATGGGGAGAACAAAGTGTATCGATTACGATTTATGGAAATCCAATGTTGATGTACGATCAGCCTGAAAACTGAAGCGATTATGGGGTTTCGTCGTGAAAATAACCTGGATTACTAGTAAAGTGCGCTTGATTATATGTGCAAATTACTGCAAAATTGTTTTGCTTCGGGAACAAAGCCTGCATCGAATTTTGAACTGAAACGTGAACAAGTACGTAGCTACGACGATTATCATTCAAGATCGATTTATGGAATCGTCATATTTGGTTTGTAGGACCAACAAAAGCCGAAAAGGCAAGTTAACGTAATGCTTTTCTGGTTATTAAACTTATTCACTTAATATTTACATTGCAAAGGAGCTAAGCGTGCGTGTCGGCCATGTTGTCGCAGATTTCTAGCCATGCGGTATAGTATATTTTGTCATAGTATTCAATGTTGAGATTTTAGCATTCGGTCAGAAAAATTGAATTTTAAATGAAAAAAAACCCACAAAAAACCAAAAACAAACAAAAACCCAAAAACATAAGGAAACAAAAAGCTGCATTCGAATGCAGGTTGAAGTTTGTTCCATTAATTGTTGAAAATCCTTGTGATCCCAGTGCCTCCGCCCTTTGCAAAATTTGCAAAAAAACTGCAGTGAGCCATCTTAAGTAAATACACACGTGACGAAGTGGATAATGGAGATTCAGCCCAATATCCCTAAGTATCCCTGAATCCCACTAGCAATCAATATGGCCACCATCATGGAACGCTGTTTGGAAAGGTGAATTTTTACGACAAGGAATATTTGACATTAAATGGAACTTTTATCCGCTTTAGATCCAAGTAAGTTATAATCTTAACATATAAATTTGTAGGCATGGTATGGTTTAAATGGGGAATTCGGAGAAGTGGGGAAGATCTCGCATTATTACGCTGCAAAGTGTGTTTATGTCGCCAGCGTGGAAATACCGAAATAGCGGCAAGCGTACGTTGGAATCGAAACATGCGCTATTTTTGATATACCGCATAATTTGTCATTGATTTTTATAAATTATATTTATATTTTGATGTTTTTGTTTACTAATGTGTTATGAGATACCTTAGATTGTTCAAATTTGTATCATAAGATATATTATACTATTTCAGATATGCCAGCATAAATATGTGTTCTCATATGCTGCTAACCAATATGTTAACCTCATTCACTCAAGATTATTACAAGTCTTCAGAACTGGTTAAGAACAAGGGTTTTACCATACCTCTGAAGACTTCCTGTCGTAAAAGAGATCCCTGTCACAAAATTAAGAGATCCCCAAAGAATTGCTGTTAATAAAACAAGCTTTCATTGGTAGGGAAACAACTACCTGAAAAATATAAGGAGAATTTTGGGCCTTTGTCTGGAGTTATTATAAACAGTTTATATCAGATGAGGTTTTTGTGACATCCGAGACCTTGGTGATTCGGGATATTATGCACCAGTCAGTGGAATGCCCCGTACCCCCCCCCCCTACCCGGAGAATGCCGGGGAATTATTGAGCGATTGAACCTTATATTCGGCCACGGTACACAGGGATTTAGACTGTATTAGTTATGTGTATACCGGGCACTTTGGCAGGGCTTATATCGGGGATTAGACATAGCCGCCATCTTGAAAACGAGAAAGGACTTGGAATGAGCAATGAAAGCGAACTGATAATTTTGCGAACGAACTGACAATCTCTTGTGTTATTGGGTCACCGTTTTATTTTCTTGAATGTTATTGTAAACCGTTTAGATGTTCCATTTTTTTAAGCATTCAGTATAGACCATAGATATGACTTAAATTTTAAGTAAAAAGGGAAAGGCCCAGTTTTTAGGGGCCCCGAACAATGAGCAAAACCAAATCGAACTGAAAAGAATCCAGTTTAATTTAATAGATGTGCAAAATTAAGTACAAATAAGGTAGTATTTATCAAATAGGTCTATTTCCTTTAGGTTGATATTCTTTTTAGATATTGTATATTCGGCCCGGAGAGCGGGAACATTATTTGCGTTTAGGCAAGTGAGAGTGGCCCGTATAGCGGGGAGTTAGAGTGAATTAGAGCAAGGTCTTGGTCTAATGCCCCGCTGTTCCCCGGGTAGGGAGGTGCGGGGCATTCCACTGACTGGTGCATTACAAAAACCGAATTGAATGACTGTTTTATTACACATTGCATTTTCATTAACTCTTTGAACAAACAATGATTTGTCACACAAAACAACGGTTGCAAATATATTAGATATCTCACCTCCCTACCAAAGTTCCAATAAAAATCTCAAATGTCTGCTGTTTGCCAATCAGCATTATTAGGCCATGTAAAAAAAATCCCTGTTTATCATCAGTGCAGGGTGTTAGCTACAGTCAAAAATTCCGCGTTAAACACGATTTTCCCAATTACCTTGAGGTCGCAATTTCCCAATTTGGGTCAGCCAAAAAATAGTACAGAAATTCAATTATTTTTTCACATCCGATAATAGACCAGTACCGTATCTAAGTATCTTGCCGTCCATCTTGCTGCCAATATGTTGTTAATACGCCATTAAAAACATGTTTATAACTACATTTGCTCAAAATTACTCCCAAAATGCGGGAAATGCCATTTCAAAAACACAAAAATTGTAAAAATCGAGAGGGGGCAACCGCATGCCCCCATACCCACAAAGAAATGCCCGGTTTCAGGCTAAAATAAATTTCACAATATTTTGAATGCTACACTTTTCATTAAAGGACATTGGCACCCAAAATTTTTATTACTTATATCTCTTTGGTATACTTGCGGAATATTTAATTTCATATTTTGGCCGGTTTGTCGCGTTTAGTTGTTGAGAAAATTTGATAGAAAGTCCAACAGTTGTCCGCCATTTTGAAAATAAGCGTGTATGCTAATTTATGCCTCCAAATACATTATCTGACGTCATTAGCTGGGTAAAAACAATTTCATGACTATAAACAATACCGAGTATTGCCACGCGTAGTGCATTTGAACCAAAACAAAAGGCAGCAAAGTTTTACCAAGTATGTAATTTGTAACACTATTTCTCATAGTATATATCCTACTCCGTGTTAAATAAAAGCAGAAATTCGAGTGCAACAAGACAAATACTAATGCAATATTTTATGATCAATTACCTGTATTGTAAATTGCACCATTCCTTGCTTTTCCAGTCGCTCGATATGTTTTTATCTGATAGTGTAGACTTATCTTGTTTGATTGCGAAGAGTGTTGGCCAGTATAACGCTCAAAACGACATATTTTTAGCTAACATAACACACACGCAATAGAATTCTCTCTTGTAGTTTTAGCGCTACCCATCCAATGATGTCACAAAGTTCATTGACCTTCGAGATAATTTGTCAGAAAATATTTCCAAGATGGCGGCGAAACACAAAGTTTGCATGCATTTTACTCGTAGACTAAAATGTTTGAGAACGAAATGATAATATTTTCATAGTTAGGTCGTCAAGTAGGATTGAAATAGCCAATAAATCATACACGTTGTTAGCCTGCGAGCCTGACTATGTCTATGATTTTAATAAAACTACAGACTTTTATAATACAATATATACTTTAAAAAAATTGCAACCAACTGGAGAGCAAATAATTTCATGAGTAATTTGTTTGTGAAAATTATCACTTTTCAATTATCGCTTTTCTGTAAAAATTATCGCTTTTCAAAGACTGTCCTTCATATAATAAACAGAGAAATACATTGGTGCTTGGAAATACCAGATTTCTTGTGTTGAACATGAAATCTCACTCAGTTAGCTGTGCTCACTCGTGAGATATCATGTTCAACACTCTCTATTTATTAACTACCTGTAGGGCTTCAAATTTCAATTTTTCAGCAGTATCCAGTGGGATACTAGCAACTTAAAATTTGGTACCCACCTAGAAAATCTAGTATCCCACATTTGCAAAACATCTTTTCGTTCACGAGCATTACCCACAGAAAGGATTTTTTCAAGCCATTTTAAATTTTCAACAATGCTTTGTTTCTTCATACTTTGCTTGGCTTTGCCACTTTTTTGAGCATATCTTTCTTGCGCAGTCAAATTCGATCGCTTTCACTTTGTTTATCTAATTGTATTATTTTCGATGGTATTTTGTCGAGAAATATCAGCCGTGGACAGAATTTTTTTCAGTATCTCTCGGGACACTGAGCTCGTGATTTCCAGTATCCAAATTCAAATCTGATATCGCCGGGATATCGGGATACCGCGAATTTGAAGCCCTGTTAACTATGCTAAATATTTCAATACAGACAATGGATTGCAATAATTTGCAAAACAGTTATGTTCTTAGAATTTATGTTTTTGGGGAGAGGGTGATTGGTTGGGTGGGGGGGCGAAACATTTCATCTCCTTTGAAAATATTAAATATTTTCTGATGCTTTCG